ATATGTATGTATACACACACACACACAATGGACCCTCGAGTTACTACCAGCCTGACGTACAAACAACTTGGGTTACAACCAGAATTTTAGTTTTAGCTTACAAAGTCTTGAGTTATACCCAAATGCTGGCCTGTTGTGCTTCTAGATGTCTCAGATACAGATTTAACCCTTACAGAGTACAACATCCTTGCCTGTGTGAGCTTAATTGAGAAATCCTGGGCCAATGTCTTTCTAAGGACACTGAGATCTGCCTGTGTACAGGAGAGAGACTTTGAAGGCTGCATAGAGGAGCCTGAGCCTTCATTGACCAACTTGAGTTGCAAGCAGCCCTTGAGAATGAATTGGGTTCTTAAGTCAAGTGTCCTATATCTATCTCTCTGTCTGTAAAAATTTACCTGTTATCTCCAGATAAAGATGATTTCTAGGGCCAGCCTCGGAATGTAGGGGTTGCTGTTGATGATTCAACTGTTTGAATCTTTTTTGAGGGGAAATTTATATGACTGGAAGGAAAGAGCTTGCAACTTATACAAACACATGTGGGGGCCGGGGATCTAGCCCAGTGGTTCTGCTGCCTGCCTTGCAAGCACAAGGATCTAAGTTCGATCCCCAGTACCAAAAAGGAAATGTCTTGTAGGGGTAGAACTTTGTCTTCGTTCCACTCCCTGAGCTAGCCTGTATTTTTAGGCTTCAAATCTTCATCCACAGTATCTGATATACCTGCCTCTTCTCCCAGGGCAGCATCCCGGAGTCCTTGTCATGCATGATTTCATAGCAGGGATACAAACCTTGGAGTTAGTCTCACTTCACTTTAGAATGATGGCTTCACCAGTTTACTAGCTATACCTTGAACAATAGAGTATTGGGGGTTTTTTGTGGGTGTTTTTTTTAACTGGGAAAATAATACTTTATGGAGTTGTTTTAAGAATTTAAGTATGTCAAAGTGTAGTATATCGTCTGTACCTCCAGGTATTCTTGACCCCATTTTCTCATACCCGTTCACTACCCAAAAGGCCCTGCCTGTGTGCCCACAGCATATACTTACCATAGAAGGTATTTACACTGCGGTATAGTTATGTAAGTTGGCAGATTCTTGTATTAATTTGTGAATTCCTTCACTTTGAACCTCTAGTACCCAGCAGAGGGCCAAGTTTGTAGTTACTAAATAAGTCTGAATGAATTGCATGCATGCATATTTTGCTGTATTCTCTCTCACGAAGCCTATTTCATTAGGATAATGGAGATGTACCATTATATAGAATAGCCAGTATTTAGGAACTAGTTCTGTGAAATGTTTTGGTCTTGGGATCCTTTTAAACTCATAAAAATTATTATAAACTCCAGAGAGTCTTTATTTACATGAACTGATTTTCATGGTCTTAGAAATTAAATTTTAAATATTGATGAAAATTTATTATTTAATTATAAATTAAATATTTAATTTTATTAAATAAAATTTTAATGTAAGTGGTAAACCCTTGACATGTTCATTCATGTGCCATATTTTCATGAAAAATTACTGTTTCCAGTCCTGTCCTCCCAGGTTATTTTATTTTTTTGGTTTTTTTGGGACAGGGTCTCACTATGTAGTTGAGACTGACCTGGAATTCACTATGAAGCTCAGGCTGGTCTCGAACTCACAGCGATCCTCCTGCCTCAGCCTCCTGAGTGCTGGGATTGCAGGTGTGCGCCACCATGCCCAGCCTCCCAGGTTATTTTAATAAGACAAATATGTTTGACAGTTGTCCAAGATTTTCTTTCTGTGGCTGGATTAAAAGACCGGTGGATCTCACATCTACTACTGCATTCAGTCTGTTGCCGTAAATTGCTCTGCTTGAAAAAATGTAGAAAATGCAGCCTTACCTAGACATGTAGTTGAAAAAGAAAGACCTCTGAGACATCCTTCGAGAGTCTTCTGAAAATACTTTTAAGAACCTAGTACATGCTGTAGGCATGTGTGGATATCATACTGAAGCCCAGCAATATGTTCAGCTAATGTTAGTAGGAAATTTTTTGAAATTTAAAGAACTACTGCTCCGTTGTAAAAGGAAAAACATAGCATCCACAAAATGAGGAAGGGATCAAGGAAAATTCTGTGAGTTTGGCTCTCTATAAATAATCCTTTGTCATTTCTTATTTGTAGGTTGAAAAATCCTTCATGAACAAGAGAGATCAGAAGCAACATGATGGATTCAGAAGCTCATGAAAAGAGGCCACCAATCCTGACATCTTCAACACAAGACGTATCCCCGCACATCACCAGTGTTGGTGAAATGAAGCACTATCTGTGTGGCTGCTGCGCAGCTTTCAGCAACATAGCAATCACATTTCCAGTTCAGAAGGTCCTCTTCCGGCAGCAGCTGTATGGAATCAAAACCCGGGATGCAGTACTTCAGCTGAGGAGGGATGGATTTCGAAACTTGTATCGTGGAATCCTTCCGCCCTTAATGCAGAAAACGACTACCCTGGCACTCATGTTTGGTCTGTATGAGGATCTGTCTTGCCTTCTCCATAAGCACGTCAGTGCTCCAGAGTTTGCAACCCGTGCTGCGGCTGCAATACTTGCAGGGACAACAGAAGCCATTTTCACTCCACTGGAAAGAGTTCAGACATTGCTTCAAGACCACAAGCATCATGACAAATTTACAAACACTTATCAGGCCTTCAGAGTGCTGAAATGCCATGGAATTAGAGAGTATTATCGAGGCTTGGTGCCCATTCTTTTCCGTAATGGATTCAGCAATGTTCTTTTCTTTGGCCTTCGAGGTCCCATTAAGGAGCATCTGCCTACTGCAACAACTCACAGTGCTCATCTGGTTAATGACTTTATCTGTGGAGGTGTTTTGGGTGCCATGTTGGGGTTCTTGTTTTTTCCAGTTAATGTTGTAAAAACTCGCATACAGTCTCAGATTGGTGGGGAGTTTCAGTCTTTCTCCAAGGTTTTCAAAACAATCTGGCTAGAACGGGACAGGAAACTGACAAATCTCTTCAGGGGTGCCCATCTGAATTATCATCGGTCCCTCATCTCTTGGGGCATAATCAATGCGACTTACGAATTCTTGTTAAAGATCATCTGAGAAAGTCACCAGTGAAGTGCTGTGTATCAGTGAATAGACCTGAGAAAAATACAGTTTGACTTAGGTTCAAATTGAGTTCAGGCCACAGTGAATTATGGGAAAGCCATTTTCCCTGAGCATCAACAAAAAATTTTTAATTTTTTATCATTACTGGAGAGCTTTAGGCTAATTGCTGGTAAATAGCTGTTTATCTGATGGTCTTTCACAGGGTATCCTAATAGCCAGGATGTGATTCTTTTTCCCCAAACCGCCTTTAAGCCTTTTGTATTGAAGCATAAAATGGCCATAACTAGCCAGGGAAAGTGCCCTTAGGGCCCTAGGACTTCTCAGGCTTATTTTGTTACCCCATTTTTTCTTGCTCTCAGGAGCAGTTGCAAAGGGTAGCCTTCATTAAAATTAAGCATATATGTGGCAGGACCTGGCCAGAACAGAAAAGAAATACAGCTTATTTGGTCAGTCTGCTTTTTGGGATTTTTTTTTTTTTTTTTTTTTTTTTTTTTTTTTTTTTTTTTGACGGGATCGAACTTAGGACCTTGTGCTTGTGAGGCAGGCGTGGTGCCACTGAGCAGTCTGAATTGGTGTTAGTTTTAAAATTAAGCACCTGTCGGAGTAGTCATAATCCAGTCTCTTCTGTTCAGATGTGGTAGATGGAATCATGCAGCTAATGAAATTTCTCATTTATTTTTGTGCCTTTGGATGTTTTCTGTTTAATTCTGAATGTGACCTTAAGCCCTTCCAAAATATCCTTATGTTAATTTTACTGATTTCATTGCCAAAAGATGGGAACATTTAAATTTTTTATAGGTGTTTCATCCCATTAAGAAGTTGTTAACAATATATAGTTCCTTTTTCTCCAGCTTGGTTTATTTGAATTATTGGCTCCAACTTAGCAGAGGGCTTTGGAGGCTTTTTCCCCCTTGAGTAGCAATTTGTCATATTTGAGCATCTTGTTCTCGTGAAGCTATACTTTTAAAAAATAAAACACTTCCATAAGTTTTATCTTAGGAGTCTGTTAATATCCCATGGTTTTTTATTTTGTTTTGTTTTGTTTTCCCCCTCCTGGTTTCTAAATGTTACAGGGTGAGAGGGGGGCAAAAGCTCAGGATAGCTCTTGCCCCACTGTGTTAACTGTCTTTATTTTATTCTTGGAGATGGAGGCTTCTCTAGGATTTCACATTAGGGAACCCAGTTTTACCATTGTGTCATTAAAGCTAGATTGAGAGCATATGATCTAGATAAAAGCATTTGAAGGGTTGTGTTGAATTCTAGAGGTTGGTGCTAGCTAGATCGCCTGTTCATGCCTTACTTCAGACAAAGTTTGTCACAGAATCAGAGAATATTTGAATATTTTTCCCAGATCGGTGAAGCAAAATGACTCATACAGCAGTTGAATAATGAAATATAAGAAACATCCTGGAGAAATGGTTAATGAATATCTAAAATCTATCTGTAAATATATGTACTTAAGGTTGCTTCCTGCCATCTAAGAAGAAAGTAGATTTGTCTTTTTGGTGGTTCTGGGGATTGAATCCAGGGCCTGTCATGTGCCTAGGCCAGTGCCTCCTACTGGGCTGCGACCCAAGCCATCCCCTTCTCCCTTCTTAAAGATAGGCTTTTTGTTACCATTTTTTTTCATTTTTCTGAGTAATTGCATGTGAATTTATGCATATACCAACCAAAAATCCAGGGCCTCACCGGTTGTTTACTCAGTTTCTGGGCAGATAGTCCACAACAGCCGTTTACCTCGAAATGCGCTCTTAAAGTGAACATCCTTTTTCCAATTATAAAGGATTAAGCAGCATATTAAGCGTTGGCAAGATAGTAACGGAGCTAAGCATCTTTACAGCAGCTCTGCTTGACAGTTTTGTGCTAGATGTAACAGCTTAGAGATCAAGGTGCAGATGTGAGGATTTCAGAAAACAAGAAGTTGACACCAAATAGCTTTCAGCAGTGTTCTTTGGCCTGTTGAAGAATCAGGACTTGAAGGGAGTTGCAGAAATGAGTGAAGATGGCACCTGGGTTCCTGGCCCCCTCATTCGTCTGTGAAACTTGAGCATCTGCGGGCTCACCTAGGAGCGCAGCACGGCACAGGGGACTAAGAGGTCACACCCTCACCTTGGCAGTGAACTCCATTGGCGTGCAGCTCTCTGGAACTTGCTTCTGTCTACACTCCATGCAGGAGAGAGATTTACTTGTAAAGCACTTTGGTGAAAAGTTTAGGAGAATGCTTTGGTATTTGCCCTATCAAAGAATATGTGGCATTTTGAAACAATTACTAATATTTTTAATGGTTTTAACTCATTCTTAAATTCGTCACTTTTTACTTTTCTTGAAGACCAAACTACAAATATATTACCAGAGATGGTTTTGTGTTGTGCTCTAGACTTAATTTGACAAAAGAAATTCAGAACTTGTAGCCAACAGTTTTATCTGAACTTGAAGGCAGAATTTGTAATAAGTAAGAAATTCTATTGTTTTTATTATCGGCGTGAACTAGCATGGTACTGTTTTTAAAGGCCAAGTATGATTGAATAACTGTGTGAAAAGCTTTAAAGTGGTCTGTTACATATGTGGCACAGATACAGCTCATGAGCACAGGGCCAGGTCTTGTGTCCTATGCTTCAAGTCTGATGCCACCAAAAATGTCATGAATGCTGTTTTAACACACTTTTTGAGTGATATGATCCCTGAGGACTACACCACAAACACAGCCTTTATATTGTAACTTTGTGTCTTACTTGTTTCACTTGTGGTTAGAGATACATTCTGACTTTTTTTGTCTAAATAGTCACTATTCATCTTGACTTATGGTTGGTTAGCCATCTGCTATATATTGACCTGTGCAATAAAATAGAACTGTGTACATATAGTTGATTTTGGATATCTGAAATTCCCAAGCTCAATTACAGTGAGTATAAATGTTCAGTATAAGGTGGTGCAAACCTGTAAGAGAATAATGAGTAGCAGACAGGATATGTGAAATGGGATCTAGGGATTTCTATGCATAAGCCAGTCTTGTGGAGCTGACACTGGTGCTGTAGAGATGAAGTACTGTGGGGTGAGGGCTGTGCAGTCATGAAGGCTAGGCAGGAGATTATGGTGGAAGAAAAGGTAAGCACTCAGACTTGTTTTCCTTTATACTGAAATACAGTGGACCCTTGAATTACTACCACCTGACATACAAACAGTTTGTGTTACAACCGGCATTTTAGTTTAACTTACCGACCAAAATCTCGAGTTATGAACCAAATGCCAGCCACTTGTGCTTCTAGATGGGCTCAGTTACAGAGCCCTTAAAGCATCCTGGAAGGAACATTACAGTACCCTTGCCTATGTGGAGTTGAGAAGTCCTGGGCCACTGTCTCCCTAAGGACACTGAGATCTGCCTGTGTACAGGAGAGAGACTTTGAAGGCTGCGTAGAGGAGCCTGAACCTTCAGCTGACCAACTTGAGTTAGAAGCAGCCCTCGAGAATGAATTGAGTTTGTAAGTCAAGGGTCCACTGTACTTGTTTTCTCGTGTACAAATGCATATCAAAGACTTGAACACCATTCTCTCAAAATTTGAGGATTTTAAATTTTTAATGCTGTTTGTGTAATATTTACTTGCCTAAATGGCTCCCAAGTTGTGTGAGGATCTCTGTATGTTTCTTCTTTTAAAGTCTCATTATTAAAAGTCAGTTACCAAATACAAAATTTTTGTTTGCTGTTTTGAGTTATGTGACTGAATTTAAATGAAATCTCTTCAGTGTTTCAGCATTAATATACTTGGTGTGATTGGAATAAAGATTTTGGTTTTTTATTTTTTACATTTCACTGGAAACACTGATCTTTTGGATAGAAATGAGAATTTATTTGCCAAGAAGGATGATCCCATCATATTTATGCTAGAACCAGCACATAGCCTCTTCTGTTCATTGTGTTTTCCCCCAGTGCTGCCTGCCCTGCACTTCCTGTCTGCAAAGCTGAAACCTGGCCTCCTCAGGAACACATTGAAGTCCATGCCATAGATAGCAGTGCTTGGGTCATATTTGATTCCCAGATCCATGTGTTCCTGCGTCCCAGAACTACAGTTGCTGAGCCAGGTATGGCACATGTCTGTAATCGCAGCACTTGGAAGGCTGAGGCCTTGAGTTAGAGACCATCCTGGGCTACACAGCAAGTTCAAAGCCAGTCTGGACTCCATAGCAGGACCCTGTCTCAAAAAAAGTTTCTGGGATTTAGTTCAGTGGTGTGGTGCCTGGTTTGCAAGATCCTGAGTTCAATCCCAGGTACCAAAAATATGTTTCCATTATCAGAAATTATTTTTCTTTAATTCATACTTTTCATATCTTTAGACCTTTAGTCCTTACTTGATAAGACAGCACGTTATATTGACAATTAGCAATTCACTGGAGGACTTTGCAGGTAAAATAACTTACACTTCAGCTCTCAATTCAAATGTCCCTCCCTCAGACACTGGCTCAATTTTTAAAAAATTAATTTTATGAGGCAGGTGTGGTGGTGCACGCCTTTAATCCCAGCACTTGGGAGGCTGAGACAGGAGGATTGCTGTGAGTTCGAGACTGGCCTGGGCTACATAGTTCCAGGTTAGTCTCAACTACGTAGTGAGACCCTGTCTCAAAAAAAAAAAAAAAATATGAATTTTATGGTGTATAATCACATTCGCATAATGATCACATTCACCGTAGGGAATTTGTACCTGTTCACAATATATCTTCTTTTTTTTCCCCATTCCCCACCCTTCCCTTCAATCCTTCTTCCCCTCTCCCTTGTTTCTGTTTTCCTTCCATTATTATTTTTTGGGGGGATACTGTGGCTCAAACTCATGACCTTGTAGTTTGAGGCAGGTGCAGTTCCACTGAGATAAATCCCCAGCCCATCCTTCCATTATTTTTAAATTTTAAATTTCCCTTCCCCTCCCTCCCTTGTTCCCCTGCCTACTTGAACATTTTCTTCCCACTTCCCAATATCTATCATCCATTTTGGTCCTTATTTACCCTTTGGGTTTCTCACATAAGAATGCAATATTTAAACGTGTGTCCAGGGGCTGGGGATTTAGCTCAGCGGTTTGGTGGCCTGCCTTGCTAAGCGCAAGGACCTGAGTTCAATCCCCGGTACCAAAAAAAAAAGTGTGTCCGACTTATTTCACTTAACATGTTCTCAAGGTCCATCCATTTACCTAAAAATGTCTCAAATCTATTCGTTATGATAGTGTATAACTCCACTGGATATTAAAAAAAACAATTTATCCATTTATCCATTGATGGGCATCTGGGCTGTTTCCCAGATTGAGCTATTACAAATTGTGCTGCTATAACCATGGGTGTGCATATGTTGCTATGTTAATGATGCTTTTAACTCAGGAAGATACCTAGAAGGAGAATAGCTGGTCAAATGGAACCTCTAGTTTTAGTTTTTTGAAGAATCTCCATACTGATTTCCATAGTGATTGTACCAGCTCACACTCCTACTAGCAATG